CCTAGCCACCTAGTAAAAAAAATTTGAAACCCACCCCTGTCCCATGAGGCCCCCACACAGCCTCCAGCAGCACTCGGCCGGCCAAAAACACGGCCCGTGGAGGCCTCTGTGGGGTCTGTTTTTGGCTGGCCGAGTGCTGCAGGAGGCTGGGGAGGCTGAAAACGGGCCATGGGGTTGGGGATGGAGAGCGCCCGCAGCCTGTTTTGGCCACCAGAGGCACCGTGGGCCGATCCTTAGCTATTTCCAGACCGGCCCCACAGGACGGATTTAAGCACCCAGCGGGATGGATCCGGCCCACAGGCCTTGAGCTTGACACCCCTGGTCTAGTGGTTAAAGCACCAGGCTGGATACCAGGAGATGCCACTGGGAACAAGGATAGAAGGGGATCCCATGCAGATGGGAAAAGGTGAGGATATGCAGGCTCATATTTATGACGGTTGCAGTGTCCCGGGGTCACATGATCCCCTTTCACAAACTTCGGACCAGCAACGACAACGGGGAAGCCAGATTCACTTCACAACTGTGCGACTCATTTAACAACCGCAGCGATTCACTTAACAACCTGGGCGAGAAAGGTTGTAAAATGGGGCAAGACTTACTCAACAACGCTCTCGCTTAGCCCCAGAAATTTAGGGCTCGGTTATGGTCATAAGTCGAGGACTTACTTAAAACAGTTCATTTAGTGACCGTTCAAAGTTGCAACGGCACTGCAAAAAGGCAGTTCGGATCATTTTTCACAGTGACGATCTTTCCAGCTTCCCCCCACGACTATGCGGTCAAAATTCAGCTGCTTGGCAACTGCTTCCTACTTACGACCGTTGCTGCGTCTTGAAGTCACGTGATCCCTTTTGGCGACCTTTTGATGAGCAAATTCAACGGGGAAGTCAGGTTCCCTCCGCAACTGACCAACCACAGTGATTCACTTAACAACGGTGGCAGGAAAGGTAATAAAATGGGGCAACTCACTTAACAAATGTCTCACTTAACAGTGGACATTTGGGGCACTCCGTTGGGGTCGTAAGTCAAGGACTATGTGCAGA